TTGGCACGTTTCCAAAATATATAGATTTTCATTAGAAGCTTAGATAGGTGGGAATTGAACTGACGATACCTTAGCTATTAGCCACTTTTACCATTAGGCCAACAAACCCGTCGTAGCTACTTTTATACATATTTTAACAATTATGATACAAGGTAACATTTTCAAGTCGAAAAAAATCGAAATCATCATCAAAAATAAAAAAAATATATAGTTTACTTTATAGTTTATAGGTGAAAGCCCTATTACATTTAACCATGATGTGCGGTCGACCTTTTAGAAATTCGATAACAACGTTTGAATTTCCAAATCATATATCATAGCGTAGTAGAAAAACACCTTTTTCAACTCCACACTTTATATAAATTTAATATTCACTATAAGATTGAAATAAAATTCAGTAATTATTGTTAAAAACGCGGGAGAGTTGCCGTCTCCCCGTAACCACGGCTGCTGCAAAGCGTAAAATGCAAGCGGGCCGTAGATAAAATATTTTTGGAAATAAGTTTAATTAATATATTACACATTTTAGCTCTATCACTCTTAAAATGGATATTGTAATACCTTACGCATTATGGACGCACCTTATAACCAGTACCTATTGATAGTTCGTCATTTAAATGAATTACTCATTTCTATTCCCAAAATAAATCCAAGTAGATCCAATTCCGTTCCTGATAGTTTAATGAATGCTATCATTGATTAGTTGCGCTTCATTTTTATTTGGCTCCTTGGTGTAATGGTTTCTCTAATAAATTTATAGTTTTTCCGAAACATGTTGGACTTCGTCTGGATATTTGGATATTAAATGGGTGGTAGGAATATAAAATTCTGTCCGGGTCACGAACCAATATCCACAGATGAAAAAGCCATCTAGTTTAATCGCGGTTTCAGTCTGTGGCTTTCAAAATATTCACAGTCAAAGTAGGTCGACGGCGTTTTTCAGATGTTATTTGGGTAGGGTGTTTTACCTACCATCATGTAAGCCCCATGCTTGCCTGTTCTCCTCTATCTTATAAAAATTATAAAATCGGATGTTAAGGTCGTTTCATCATGGACATTTGGTAGGTCCCACCGAATTCCTCGTCAGGTCTACCTCAATTTTGGAGTCACGCACGCCGCGGGGCGCGAGCGGAGATAACCAGCTATTATCTACCATTATATATCTACTGGGTCTTCTAATTTACGATTGGGGTTCTCCGTTTAATACTCTGGTTATTTATCTTAAATTTGATGAGTGAGTTTTTGATTTTAAATGAATTTACCTGTTGTTACATTGAAATAAAACACCTTAACGGTTTAAAACGCGATACATATTAGTTGAACACTGGGACCTCCCGGTAACTACGGCTGCTGCAAAAAATCGGTAGGCCGTAGTTATAATAATTTTCAAATATCTTTAATTATGATCTGTTTTATCTTTAAAGTTCTTATTCAAAAAATACATTTAAAAAACATCGAACCGTAGTTGAAATAAATTGAAAACAAGTTAACTAATATATTTTGCGTTTTTAACGGTTAAAAGGGTTTTATTTCAAAATACTATTATTTATATACAAACATGTCTGTCTATTTAATATGTGAAATTTTTTAACTTACTTTATGATATACATATTTTGCTTTCAAACCTACAGTCTACAGTTGATTATTGGAGGAATTCTATAGATCAAATGTTAAAGTCGAGTTGTCGCTTTTCAAACTTAAAAGTGTGTTTTAAAATTATTTCATGTTGGTATAGTGATATGTTTTTTTACTTGTGTGTAGAATACACAAACGGACATTCCTACGGGACTGAAGAGGTCTCTAGCGATTCAAACTTGACTGTTAGTCGATGTTCTCAAAACCCGTTTGGAATTTTACGTCTATTATTTTAGCCTGATATTCATATTCTATTATATCACGAATTCTTTGATGATTTTATGACTCTACGTTGCAAATTTTATTAGTTACTAGGTTACTTACTTACAAACATACAATTATTATATCTGAAATATATTGTTAACTCAAACATAATCTGTACCTATACATTTCTATGACCGTTTCATAATCTATTTTTATTTTTTAAAATAGCTTTTAAAGTTTAAACCCCTGACATTGAATTCGCACCACAAATAAAAATTAAGTCATAATTTAAAACCTTTTCATTATAAAGCTTGTTTGAAGAGTTTGTTTGTTTGAATGCACTAATCTCAGGACCTACTGATTCGAATTGATTATTTTGTGTTGGTTAGAACGTGCGCTGCGAAAAGGTTCAAGATATCCAAATAACGTGTAAGAAATAATGATTCATCTTTTGATGATTAAAAAAGCTGCGATACTGCATTTCTATCTTTTAAGATTAACTTGCAAGAACGGCGGGACGTAGACGACGTCGTGGTTAACAGATATAAGGTGAAGAGGTTGCAAAAACAAATTTTGACGACTAAAATAACTATTATGTGCGGACGAAGTCCCAAGCATAGCTAGTAATATATATTAGGTTAAATAATAAGCCTTAACATTTTTTTTTTTAAATATTACTAATCTTAAATATTTTCTTTCTTGTGTTTTATTAGATAACAGACAAGTTGGAGCTACATGTAAGAAAAGTTCGTGTTAGGTAGGTACTATCTCAATGGTTTCAAATACTGTGCAATTAAATATGATTCCACAAAATGCCCACATTGCAACCAAAGCCTACCAATAACATTTTACGACACCACCGCTGTCTGCGGCCGATAACTGAACTAAAATAAATTTTAATTCCACCATAGCGCTCTAGATGGCGCTGCACTAAATAACAGAAGGGTTGGAGCATTTGGGGGATTATTTTCATTTATTGCTTTTAATTGGTTTAGGGGCTTTTAGCGATCATAACCTTGTAATATGTTCGTTTTCATTGTCTAGAAGCGCTGTGCAATAACAATAATAGGCTATTTTATAGCATCCATGTTTTAATGGCTGTCGGGCCACCATAGGCAGGAGCTTCGTGGCCCGCGCCCGGGGCCAATTCCGCAATTATTTTAACGAGCGAAATGGATGGGTTTATTGTTTTATTGTTATTTGCCTAAAACTGTTATTCGTTGTAAATGTTATCTATAGCTATGTTAGAAAGCTGAAGAGTTTGTTTATTTATTTGAAAGCGCTAATCTCAAGAACTACTAGTGTAAATTTATTATTAATGTGTATCAAAGAATTATTTCCCTTTAATTCATTTAAATAATGTCCCGGGCAGTGTGTATCTATCTTTTACGCGGACAAAGTCGTTGCTAATTTTGACGCTTAAAATAACTATTCTACGCGGACGAAGGCGCTGACACAGCTAGTACTGCATAAGCGTAAAACTATTATTAGGAACGCTGTCACAGTATAGTCATTTGTTTTTATTTTGTAACGTTTTGAGATGAGAAATTATTTTTAAATTACATTTGAAAGCAATTTTCTCAGTTCCCATGGAACTATCTTATCACGAATCTAAGGCCACATCCTGTCCCAAAATATTTAAATGTCTGTAGCGTATAATTTAACCGAGTTTAGGGACATTTATGTATGCATCACAAAGACAATTTTTTTACTATGTCGCATTTGATAACTTCATCAAAGTATTCTGTAGATGTAGTTAATGTTACACATGAAAATACACACTTGTAAAGGATTGAAACGCAAAATATATTCCTGAATTCGATTTTAGTAAAGTAGACAAGTTTAAAATTATAAGTAAGTAGTTCAGTTAGTTATCGCGGTTGATATTTTTATTAATATTGTTGACAACAAAATAAACAAACGTACTTATAAATAGAAAAAAAAGATAAATATTTAATAATATAAAAAACTATTATGAGGCCAAACGTTTTAATGTACACTTTCATTAAAATCGATTCAGCCGTTTGGTAGGTGTTCGCGCACACTATGACAGGAGAATTTCATAGTTGAAATTAGTTGTAAGCAGGTAAGTAATACTGTCTGTAGTTTCGACGAGTAGTACACATTTAACGGTTTAAAACGTGAAATATATTAGTTAAACTTATTTACACATAATGTGTAACGGTAATGGTGACCACGGCTGCTACAGAGCATCCGTAACGTCGGGCCGTGGTTAAAATCATTTATAAAGACGCTACCGTATATATTTCGAGTTTCAAACCGTTAAACGAGTTTTATTTGAATGTGCCACCGCGTAAACTGCAGACAATGCAATTGTTGGTATCAATGATATTCCAAGGATTGCAAACTATAAAAACTTGGAATACATCATAGCAATTCCATTGTTTTATTGTTGTTTGTAAACTCGAGTATAACAAACAAACATTGATTATTTCACTCATTTGGTATAGTCGTTGTTGGTAGTTTAATTCGCTCTGTTGGTTCTTTAATTTATAATTTTGAGGGATAAAAAATTATATAAAAATATAGTATTGAAATAAAACACTTTAACGGTTAAAAACGCGAAATATATTAGTAAAAATACTATACTATAGTACCCCTCCTTCTCGATTACGGCTGCTGCAAAGCATCCGAAACGTCGGGCCGTAGTTGAAATTAATTACAAATAAGTACAACGTCAATATTTCGCGTTTTAAACCGTTGAAATGTTTTATTTTAATCAGTTCAGATTTGTAGCCATACATTGCTTCCATTACACAAACGAAGCTGCGAAAAATATTGCTTAAACTTATTTACAAATTATTTCAACTACGGCCCGACGTTTCGGATGCTTTGCAGCAGCGGTGGTCATGGGTAGACATAATTTGTGAATAAGTTTAACTAATATATGTTGCGTTAAAAAAGTGTTTTATTTAATTCTTACTAATCTACAAAAGTGTTTAAAACCTATATAATAAAAGCAATAACGGGGTCGAGTGAAAAGTTACGAATATAAATAAGTTCTATAAAATGTTTTGTAAAAATATTGGAAGAATCGTTTTGTGTATTTAAGTGTTTTTTTTTTGTTTAACGTTTTTAATAGCTGACATTTTATATTTGTTTAAAAGTGATAATGTGAAAACCAATCTTAATAAAATGCCATGACTACGGCAAATATAACTGACCTATGCAAAATTTGTGACGGTAGAATCGAATGCGCGCCCACCGCCATCTTGCTTATATCTTTGGTCCATACGCTATACGGACATTTGGGCCCGGAAATCGACTATTTTGGCAATAACAAGCAGGAATTGATCAGCACGGAAGACAAATTGACTGTTATTCCGAAACTTCGCCACCATTACCTGGAGGATAATAATGATAGTACTAAATTGAGTGAGTTCGATTTTATCGTGGTTGGAGGTGGAACGGCTGGATGTGTTCTTGCTAGTCGATTGTCCGAGAATAGAAAGTGGAAGGTACGACGATAGTCCTACGCTTTTCATATTAAAAATGCCTGTTACTAAATAACGGTTTAAAACCGTGAAATCTGGTCAACAAAGGACATGATGCTGAGTAAGATCCTCTTCTACCAACAAGCAGCACACAACATTTTGTAGGCTGTTAAGATTAAATTATGTTTATTTTCTTCTAATTTGTTTTAGTGTGGCTTGTGGTAGTAAACAATTGATTTATATTTCTTTCATAAATATAGAAAAATAAGTTAAATTATTTATTTCTCGTTTTAAACCCTTCATTTAAACGTGAATGCGTTTTGTTTTACAATTTACTACTATTGACAATTTTCAGGTATACGTATAGTTATATAAAATAACTATATCTTTATATTTACAGCAGAGATTTTTCCATTTTCCCACTGTAGGACATGGAAAAGACAGTTCATGAAAGTGAATTACATTCGATTATTACATTATAAAAGTATTTGCCAGGCGCTAACATTGTTTAATTTTCCTCGGGATACGAACACATATCGAGCTATATTTTATCTATACTTATATATAAAGCTGAAGAGTTTGTTTGTTTGTATGTTTTAACGGGCTAATTTCTATATCTACTGGTTCGAATGGAGTTGTTTGTGTTAGTTAGAGCATTTACCGAGAAAGGTTATAAAACATTGCCCTGCAATTAATAGGAGCGGAAAATGTGAAAAAAACGGGGAAAATTATTCATCCTTGTGGGTCCCCGTTGTGTATGCTGCGAAAACAGTTCAAGATACGCTAAAAATATGTATGAAAGAATAAAGACCCCCCATAAAAGCTTAAAAACTATTTAAAGGTTGCAACATGATGCGACGCGGACGATGTCGTCAGTAAGAGCTATAATTTATAAAGATGAGGAAGTTTGCAAAAACCTAATTTTGATGTCCAAAATAACCATTCTAGGGGACGTAGTCGCTGACACAGCTAGTATCTTATAAACTAATAAGATGTCATATAAATCATTTTATGTACGTATATGTATATGGCTAGAAATAAATATTGTGTATATTTCTAGATATTACTAATTGAAGCAGGAGCCGAAGAGCCAAAGATGACATTGATACCAGCTCTCACAAGTGAACTACACGGTTCTTCAGTTGACTGGCAATATTCAATGAGGCCGAAAAAGGGGTAAGTTATGTCCATATAAGGCACAAGAAAAATATATTTATAATTAAGTATTATATTACATTTATATTTTTTAACGATAGAGACAGACAAGCATAGGATTTCCTTGATGCTAAGTATAATACCCCAGACATATAACATCTAAACAATACCCTGTCTACATTTTTGGATTTGCATATTCGGACGTACACAGACAAACCGAAACGCGATTTAGCGTTACGGCTTTTTCATCTGTGGACAGTGGTACCACCTATTTAATAGTGGTGGTAGTAGTGGTAAAAGTTCCAGACGAAGTCCAACATATTTCATAAAAATTATAAATTAATTAGAAAAATGTTGGATCTGGATCGAAGCCACGACCTGTTATTAGCGTACATTGCTACTTACCAACGATCCCGTCTATATGAAGTAACCAGTGATGTACAGTTTATTTGGAATAATACAATTTATGAATAAGAAAATCTAAAACGAGTAGCATTATAATTAATTCTAGCGAAGTTCGGCAAAGACTTTCAGATAATCGACGTTGTACATACTTACATTGATGCCTTTCAATAATAAATTTCCTTTTTAGATTCTGTCAAAATCGCAAGGAAAACGGCTGCGAAGTGATTCAAGGCAAAGTACTGGGCGGAACTTCGACAATTAATGAAATGGCCTACATAAGGGGCAGCCCTGCAGATTACGACGAGTGGGCACTCAACGGTAATGAAGGGTGGAGCTTCAACCAAATTTTACCATACTTTAAATACTCCGAAGGGAACTATGATAAGGACATATCAAAAAATAAATTCTTCCACTCCACACAGGGGCCCTTAGACGTAGGCCGTTATCCATATGTTGATGATAACGTCGATGTTCTACTTAGCGCATTGAACGAGCTAGGATACAATTACACCGATGTAAATGGGAGAACACAACTCGGATTCATGAGAATACAAACGATGTCGTATTTTGGCGAACGAGTCAGTACATATACCGCATTTCTAGAGCCCATAAGAAAACTTAGGACTAATGTTTACATAGCCACCGAGGCCTTAGCAACTAAGATACTATTTGAAGAGCACGGTGATAGTTTAAAAGCACTGGGAGTAGAATTTATTAAGAACGGTACAAAGTTAAAAGCGAAAGCTACGAAAGAAGTAATTTTAAGTGCAGGTGCGATCAATTCGCCTAAATTACTAATGCAGTCTGGAATAGGTCCAAGAGACTATTTGGAGTATTTAAATATACCTGTGCTGTACGATTTACCAGTTGGTGCTAACTTTCAAGATCATTTATCTGTTTGTCTACCAATTATCAAACTAACCAGAACGGCTACAACCACGAAATTTACAGAAAAATTAAAAGATATCACGAGTTATTACACCAAAGGTCTGGGCCCGTTGTCAGCAAACTATCAGGTTATTGCTTTCCTTGAGTCTAGTATATCGGAGATACTAGGCACACCTGACATTGAATTTCGGTTTAAAGGTCACGATTCTAACATGTATTATGATAAAATGGATATGTGTGTTTCTCTAATATCACCGAAAAGTAGAGGTCAAATTATATTAAACGCAACAGATCCTATATTCGGAACTCCTCTTATTTACCCCAACTTTCTTAAAGATCCCACGGATGAGAAAAAAATATTAGAAGGTATCCAAAAGATAGTTAAGCTTTTTGACACAGAAGTGTTTAAAACAGCGGAATATGTTTTTGATCCTAAACCGATTTTAAACAATGAATGCAGGAATCACGAAAGGGTGTCAGAAGAATTTTGGTCATGTATCATAAAGCACTTCTCTGCACCATTACACAACTATGCAGGAACATGTAAAATGGGACCGTCAAACGATCAAGAATCAGTTGTCGACAACACTTTAAGAGTATATGGAACCACCAACTTCAGAGTCGTAGATGCATCGATCATGCCAAAAATTACCCGAGGATCAACAGCGGCAGCAGTAATTATGATAGCTGAAAAAGCTAGCGATTTAATTAAAAGTAATTGGTACTGAGTCTCATATTTTTATTTCAATAATATCACTATTTTCACATTCTTGTCACCGTCCAGAAGGATAACGACTTTTGTTTTCTTGCCAATCCTTTAATATGAGCTTTGCTCCCTTTTCTGCTATCATTACTGTAGGTGCATAAATACCTCCTCTTACATGTGTAGGCATTACTGACGCGTCCATTATTCTTAGTCTCTCAATGCCATGTACTCTAAAGTTAAAGGTTACAACAGAATTTGTGCTATTGTAACCCATTCTACATGTACCAATTGGATTACCAATCGCTTTAGTATAATGTCTAGCAATACAATTCCATTGATCTCTATTATGCAGTTTGTCACAAGGAAACATGTCAATCGGTGCTAACTTAATCTCAGCTCGTTTCATTTCATTCGTATTTAATAACTGAAGAGCAACATCTATACTATCTACTATAGCATCCAGGTCCTGTGATTCTTTCAGTAAGTTAGCTTGTATTACCGGTCGACCATATTTCGGGTTTCTTTTATTTAACGTAATTCTACCAATACTTTTTGGTTTTAGTAATACTGGATTCAGTAATATCAAGTTGTAATAAGCCAATGGCATATTTGTTTCTTCCGCTGTATGTATGCTTATATTCGTAAGCATAAATTTATCACTCCGCACATAATTTCCTTCTAAAGCTAATTCTACGTCTGGAGCAGCTTTGTTTTCAAACAGTTGTATGAATGCCGAGATCTGATTGATTCCACGAGATGCCAAAGGGCCATTGCGACTTTGGAACCAGGTTTTAAAATCTTCAATAACCTCAGACTCGCTTACAGGTTTAACTTCACTCATTGTAAAAGCTAAACCACCAGTCGTCACTTGGTCTTGGTAATTATAGCCAACAGGTAGGTCAATAAAAGTGGTAATGTTATATTTAGCTAACTCTTCTCTAGGACCTATTCCAGATAAATGCAGCAACTTAACATTATTAATCGCTCCTGCTGTCAAAATGATTTCTCTCTTCGCATAGGCCGGCTGTTCTTTTCCTTTCTCTATTTCGTACCAAACACCTTCGACAATCTTTTCTTGGGGATCGATCATTATTTTTGTGACAGTAACGCCTGTTTTGACAGTAAGATTCTTTCTGTGTCGCACGGGTTTTAGAAAGGCACTGTTTGTACTTTGTCTTGTATTGTTGAAAATCGTGAATTGGTTGTTGACAACTGCTTCGACTATGTTCGTGTTTATGTCCATTGTTCGAAGGCCTAACTCCGCAAACGCGCCTAAAAATACTTCCATCACACGATCTGTGTATTTGAATTTTTGCACATGCATTTCTCCTCCTCGGGCGTGATAGAATGAATTCATCAAAACATCATAGTCACCTGTAACTAGGAATTATTATACATATAAATTAAGTTAGAATTTTGAAGTATCTGTCTGAAAACTTTTTATAGATACTGTCTGTAGCTTACGCGAGACCTAGTACACATTTAAATAAAACACATTAACGATTTTAATGCGATATATATATAGTTAAACTTAGTTAAACGATAATTAGATAATTATTTCAATTATAGTTTTACTAATATATATCGCATTTAAATCGTTATAAATTAAACTTTTAAAACGAAAATTAATTTTTTAATATGTCAACTAATATATATCGCGTTATGCTTTTTATAGAATATTATTTATAATTATTTTTTTTAAATTATAAATCACATTATATCTATAGTCGTACAAAAGAGACATACAAGGACATACTATTACAAGAAACAAAAAAAGAAGTCTTTGTATTTGAGTTGAGTTGATACGGAAAAATAAAAACCAAATGTAATGTGAATTTTAAATTCACACCTAAAATTAATAATAGCTCACCGTTATCCTCAGAGGCTTTGAAATATTCTAGAAGGTTCTCAAACTTCCATTCCAAAGAACCCATTTCTCCATTTGTATGCCAGGCATCGTAATCCTTCTTGTACCCTCTCGTATATTTCATATCATTCGTGACACTAGAACCACCTAAGACTTTTCCAGTTTTAACTTCGCAACTACCACCAGGTCTGGACAAGCACGAAAAGCCATTCCTATCCGTTCTATAGTTCCATAATATCGGTCGAAAGTCTTTAGTTGGTACACCTGGGATGTCATAGTCAATACTTTCATCTTCGCCTGCTTCCAGTACAAGAATCTAAAACACAATCAAATATATTTAAGTTTTCTTGTATAAAACGTCTTTGAACCTCAACGGTTCATAAAGCTTAGCGCGAGTGGTTCTATTTACAAATGCCGGGAAAACATTACTTAATTGTGAATTGTTTCGGTCGGGTAGGGCACAGAAGTATGATCGTCTAATTGTTTGTAAATACAATCGAGACACACGCAAAAATATTTAGAAGGGAACGGAGTTAAAAATATACACGGAGTTAAAAGTATTACACACATTGCATTTAACTAAACAAATCGTATTATGTGTAGTTCAAGTTGTAAATAATAAACAAAAACACACATTTATAATATTTGAAAAGCAAAACATATTAGTTAAATATCTACGACCCGTTCCGGATTAATTACAGCTAACGTTGAAACGGTTGCTGTTTAAAAATTACTAATATATTTCCCATTTTAAACCGTTATGAGTGTTCAAACTATACTTCGTACCTTCCAATCTTGATTAGCTGACAGTCTATTAGCTAGTACACAGCCAGCTGTGCCACCGCCGACTATAATAAAGTCGTAAACACTATTCCTTATATCCTTCTCATCATCACGACTTCTAGTGGCTTTGCTGAAGAGATCTCCTTTCACCGTCCAGATACAGATTATAAATATGAAGTTTCTAGAATAAAAAACTTTTTATTTTCTTTTCATAAAATATGTATCTTTATAAATTCAAAGTATTCTTTTTTTGTGGTTGGGTGGGCGGGGCCCCCCCCCCCCCCCCCCGTTTTCCCCCCCCCTTTTTTTCCCCCCAATCCCCCCCCCCCCCCCCCCCCCTTTAGGGAAAAAAAAAAAAAAAAAAAAAAAAAATGCATGTGAATTCACATGTGATTATAAATTCATGGTTATCATGTGAAAATTAATTGAATAATTTACTCACCCCAAAAACATGTTACCGCACCGCCCACACTGAACAAAATAAGTATGAAACGAAAACCATCCTTTGGGAAGTAACGGATGGCTAACCACCGCTGGATGTAATGTTGCAATGAAGGATTATTTTTAACGAACAACTAATATTATATAATTGGCGTTTGTCGGCTTTCTCGGAAGATATGATTAGTGGGCACGTCTACAAACACGCAATCAAGCGGAAAACGTAATAAGTGATCGTTCGGTATCAGAATAGTAAATAACATTGTTATGTCGGTATGTCCACATAAGTCTATACAATTAGGCAGAATATTTTAATTGTTCGAACGTACTAATCTCGGGAACTACTGGTTCGAATTGAATAATTATTTTTCTTTTAATTCTATATAACAACATACGAATAAATTCGCATATCCGACGCCAAAACAACATCTCATTAAGATTCGCTGTGAACATATTGTGGTTTTGGATATTCGGAAATCCACAGACTGGCGAACTTTTCTTCTATTAAAAACGAATCCATACAGTACTTTCACAATTGTAGATACATAAAGAGAGACAAGATAAGTTACAAACCCGTTTTTATATTCTGCCATTGTTTGAATTCGCAAACTCACATTGTCTTTTGTTTTGTTATATAACAATTATGGAATTAAACGTTTAACAGAAATAGAGCACCGTAACATTTACTTAAAATACCAATAAAGCTTCATGTTAGCTTTCTGAAAGCGAGCGAGATATTGGGGTAAGATAAGTGCCTTTCAGGAAATTAAACTGACCACTACAGTAGTTTATGGTGATTATAAACTAGAACATTATATTTTACTAGCAGATGTTATTATGCAAATCTATATTAATATTATAAAGGTAATTAGTTTGTTTTTTTAACACTGATATCAGGAACATGTTCGAATTGAGAAATTATTTTTGTGTTGGCTGTACCATTTATGGAGGAAGGCTTAAGGGGTATAAAAATGGCTAAGACCAATCAGAGCGATGAAAGTGAGGAACAATGTGGAAAAGGGGGGATAATTAACTTTTAAGGGCCTCCGTTGTGTGCGCTACGAAAATGTTTCAAGACACCGGAAACATATGTTTAAAAGAGTTATTCTTCTTTAAATAATCTAAAAAAATGTCCGCAACAATATGGTATGGTTATACAATTGATTCACAAGAACCGAAAAGACGTAAATGCCAGGTCAGCTAGTATAATAATTGGTTTTATTATAAAAGTTTGTCTTTCTAATTTAATGTGATCTCTTATTAAAAAAAAAATATTTAAACTATATACATATAATTATTTATCTTATTTCATGTAAACTCGTATGCGCACAAAAGCGAATTTGATTTAGCTAACAGGATTGCTGAACACGCCATCTAGTGATGATCTAGAGAACTTTTTACAAAGATAACGATAACTGTTAGTAGTCAGGACTATGTTCTTTAGTTGCGCCTAGATGTCGCTACTAGTTACGAAGTGACATTGAATCAATTTTTCCTTATGTATTTAGAAATATATTTATAACGGTAATTTATTGATCTATTCTTTCTCATTAATTAAAAGACCTATTAGTGTAACATTGTTTTTTTTTGGGTTGGGTGGTGCTTAATCAAATATAACGTGCAACGATGTAATAAATCTAATCTTATCAACGGAACTGAACGTCAAAATGCATAATGTATTGTTCCGTCGAATTAACTTAATTATTCATTGATATATGAGGTTCCTTTAAAAACGTGCCAATGTTAGCGACGGGCTTGGTCTAAAGGTAGCTCGTGCCTCAAGGCTCGTGCTTCGATTCCCACCAGGTCCAGGTTCTGACTATTTACCTGGGTGGTTAGTATATCAAAACCACTGTCCATATGCAAATATGAAAAAGGGGATTAAGCAGTTCACAATAAATACCAGACAAATAAAAAATATTATTCGATATATTTCCTTATATATTTTACCGGTTTCAATATTTGGATTACCTGATATCCAAAATCAAAATAGGTCGGCTAAGATGTTATATGGCATGTGTTTAACCTTCCGCCAAGTTTATTCGTTGTTTGTCTGTTCTCCTCTGTATTTAAACAAAAAAATTTAGGTTAGAAATAAAGGAAGTGTATGTTTAAATATGTACTTATAATATATATACAATAAGTATAATATTATTCATTTATATAGATCGTCCCTAATGAAAAAAAAATTTAATAAACTACTATGGTTGACTTGCAACAGTGAGGTACTTCAGCCAATAATACCAAATAAAATTAATACCGGTCAATGCAATAGCGATACTCATACAGATGTAATGAACAATAAAATATACATTAAACAGAGGCGTTGGAGGAGTGCCAAACGATCGGAGCGAATTATAGACAGACAAACAATTGTTATTGCTATAGAGTATTAATTACGTACTGTTTATTTATTTAAAAGTGTATGACCGTAGAAGAGACACAAAAAATACTAAGTTTAACCATGACTTGGCTAAATATTCAATTTACTAGAATTAATACACGTTTTAAACAACACAAACAAACACGGTTTTAAACGCGAAATATAGCAGTTATTTTTTAAACAGCAGCTGTATAGCATTTCAATCTTATTGTTTTTTATCTGTAAACGAACGCGGTTATAGATAAAAAACAATAAGAAATTATTATCATTAAATGTGGTAATAACACAGTTTAAACGGTTTAAAACGGGGGGATCCACGTGACCATAGTTTGAGCGAAGTATCCGAAATGTAAGGCTGTACTTAATATAAATATAAAACAGGTTACCTACAATATTATACATTTTAAATCGATAATAAGATACTTCTCACGTAGTCAACAGATTTAATTAATTGTTGATTTTTAATAGTTAATTTTACGTTTAAAACAATAATTATATCTTTTTTTATTAATGTCTACCACAACTACAGACAATATAGAATGAATTAAATTACTCATTAAAACTACACACGAAGATTGTACGGTACAAAATAATCTTCTTATTTGTGCCCCTTCTAAGCTAGCTCGTTTGTCCCGGTCAATCCCGGATAAGATAATACCAGCATTGATAAGCTGCGCCTTAAGACAATTGGACGGTCAGTGGACGCCTACAACACAACAGAGTTACGTCTGCAAGATAAGCCTTTTCGTAAAAAGCTGGCAATTCAACTTAAATATTGTTTTATTTTCGAAACAAAATAAGTTAAATTTCGTTTCACCCACAAGAGGATGGGGAGGGGAGAACAGTTAATGTCCGTTTCACTTATCAAATTTTAGTGTTAAATAAAAATATAACGTCGAGATTCTACAGACGAAGTCAATATGTTTCAGAAAAAATTTAATAATATAAATGGACATGTTGGAAAATAAAATGTTGGACCCGTTAGGAATAAAACACACGCACATTATTAGCCATTCGTTGCTACAATTCAAAATTAGGTAATTTCTAAAACAAAATATAATATGTACTTAACTTATAGCCATGCACTTTGACAAAAACTTAAAAAAAAAATTGAAACAAAGAAAAATATATTAGTAAACTTATTTTAACTACGCTTTGAGTAATAAAGATTTATTTTAATGATTATTACGTAAGTAAATTTTTTCATAATTGAAATTATTAGTAAGAAATATCAAGTTACAAATAAGATTTGAGTACTACTATCCAGTACTGTTTTGTACTTTACGCGAGTAGTACCTACACATTTAAATAAAACACTTTTAACGGTTTAAAACGCGAAATATGTTGGATAAACTGAAAACTGAAACTTTTCGTAAGCTTTTCAGCAGTTGTGGTCACGGGTAGTTAAAGTAATTTGTAATTAACTCGTATATTTCGCCTTTTAATCCGTTAAAGTGTTTCATACAAATAGTATCCAGTATTTTTGTGTCTATAGACGTACAGCCCAACGTCTTAAGGGTCAGTTAGACAAATCACGTCCGATCATTTAACACGATAGGGCCCTTACACATCTGTTGCCATTTTACCCGGACATACCGGGACGTGGAATTAACCCGGGATTACTGCCCCCAGGTGCAATGAACGATTTTAGGTAATGGCTCAATAAAATGGATATTATTCGAGTACGATTTGAATCGACATATAAATCAGTCAAATAAACATTTGAAACGAAGTTATGAAGGCCTCGTTGTTGGGAGCGATGTATGGCTAATAATCAAGGGGTCGTGGGTAAGATCCCCACCGGGTCCGACATGTGTAAAATTAATTTAATTATTCTTTGAACATGTAAGACTTAGTCTCAATATTAAATGGGTGGGGGGGGGGGGGTTTTTTTTTTTTTTTTTTTAGGGTTATCATAATTCCGTCCGGATCACGAATCACAGTCACAGTAGAAAAGTTTAATCGCGTTTCCGTTTCAGTCTGTGGTTTTTCGAATATTCAAAGTCAAAGTATGTCGTAACGCATCATGAAGGAAAAGAAAATAATTTTTGACACTTTTGATTAAAAAATCAAAAGTTTTTTTTCTTCTCCAAAATAAAGTTAGGGATATGATGTGGTACATCGGTTTTAATATACGCTTTATTTCTTGTGTTGTGTTGTAATGGTAAACGCACCCTCTCTGCGTCAAGCGCAACATTTCCTTTCGGGTTAGAATCCCGAAGAAACGTAATTAATATATACGATCGGGTTGGGCACAGAATTGTGATCAACTATTGGCATATCAATATTAGCATTGATTTTCTATAGAAAATCCCAATGCCTTACCTCGGGGACAGGAGAATATACTATAAGCTCTGTCATTTGAATAGTCTATTAAAATACATTTATAGACTTGATGATGCACAATGCAAGTTGCAGAAAAAAAATAGTGACGCCAAATTAATCAGAAAGGCGTTGGCCGAGTTCCAATACGCGATGCACTGTCACCCCACCGGTGGGATCAACCCTCGGACGGACAGATTTATTACAGCCTGAATATATATATTTATATAACATATTGCTTTTACTGTGAATAAGATTTATCTGTAGAGTAAATAAAATAAGTAGAATTTTTCATTATCTGTGACTACGA